TACTTATTAAACAAAAAATGTCAAAGTTTTAAATATTATATTTATTAAAAAAAAAACATCCCATAATCCCCAACCAAGTACACCTCACGGTCGAAGAAGCGTTTCTATTTACGCGATAGCTGGATTTGAATTACAAAGTCCACCGGCGCCTTCCTGTGTCGCTACCTCAAAATATGAGGTTTGCTAACTAAAGTGGCTGGTAGCTTTGAATGCGGCCCTGGTTTAATAATACGTCTTATAACGCCTTTAAATCCGGTAAATAGTGAATTATGCCGGTTTACTTCGCTTTAGTTGGAAATTGTATTATGCGAATGTGTATTATGATTGTTAGTTATTTTATATTGAATAAGTTTTGCTTGGGTATTAGTTTTGGGTGTAGTTTCTATTAGTATATGTAATTCATAACCTGTATATATCGTAGTAAAGGGACGGATTTTTTTTTTGTATATTCAGTCAGCGAAGCAATACCTTATTTTTGCTTATTAGTACCTTTTGTTGTAAATATTAGTCGCTCAGTGTATTCAGTGCAAGTGCGCCGGCTCAATTCTTGTTTTTACATGATTACGAAGTGTTTTTAAATTGTTGAAAACCAGCCTACAATAACCAGACCAAATCTGTATACACTAAAAACTAACCTTCAGCAAACTATCATAAAATTAATCACTCATAATATTTACACATCCAAAACAGCTTTACAATAAACCTCGACCTCATCGCTCAACTCCCGAAAATCCTGTTTTAAATCCTGTGATAGCTCCTAGTTAATTTTATAATAGTTCCTAAAAGGATCAGGGAGTTTATTAAATGAGTTTCTCATGTCTAGCGATAGTGACGAAGTAGGGACTAACAAAAATATACCTGCTTTGGTTTTTGATTAATACCCGCGCGTGGGTAAAACGGTGTTTAAATATTTAGGCTTTAGAGTAATGGGTACAAAAATGTAAGTGCTTTTCAGGTTTATGGATTGTGGGTCTTGATTGAACGGGTTTTTGTTGCGATTCTGGGTTTTATTGCGTTAAATAATTTCAAATTCTACTTCTTTTATCAAGTGGCTACAAGCGTGATTGCGGAGCAAGGGGTTCTGGGTTAGGTCCATGGGCAAGGTAAAGTTTTATTGTAGTTTTTTTATTATTTACTAGCTTTTACCTGCGGCTCCGCTCACGTCACACAAGAATAAAAGTAGCCTATGTGACATATAGACAGAAGTCACGATACACACAGCGCCATCTATACCAATTCTTTTGTTTTCCCTCGGGAACATCAAAATTTTTCGGGATAAAAAGTACCCTATTATTTAATCCTGACTTCTAACTTTATGGCTGCAAAAATTCAAAGCAATCGGTTTAGAAGTTACGGCGTGAAAGCGGAACAAACAAACAAACAAACTCACTTTCCCATTTATAATAGTAAGGATTATAAATACTAATATCGTTTAGCAACTTAATTTAAAATAATCAAAGATAAATTTAGGATGAGTATAATTAGGTATTTTTTATATACTGTAGCGTCCTGCCTGAGGTAGAATTTCAAATTTCATGGTAAGATTGGGTTCAATGTGTGACTTTAGTTGACCAGTTCATTTTTGATAATTAAAATTTGAACTGAAACAATACGTAATGTAAAATTAAAACATAATATTTTATTACATGACGTATTTATATCAAGATTGTCATAAATATGTTTTTATCTGCTTTAACCATACCGGAGAAAAACCCAAAATAAATTAATTATCCCAAATTTAATCAGGCGTATAAGTGAACGAATAGGTTTTTTATCGCCACAGTAGATATCCAATTAATGAACGAGGTCCTCTTAACCCAATTAATCAATATTTAACATCGAATTTATTAATTTCATTCAAACAGATCGGTGCTTTCAATTAATTAACACATCATTTTAAAATTGTATGAACAATCAATTTATTCAATAAAATCTTATTAATTACTAATTTTGAAATGCATATTGTTGTTATTCATACCTATACCTATGTCTCTTTTTAAGACGGGAAAATCATCGAATGACTGCTCCCCCTGAGTGAGGCGGGAGGGAGTGTCAGACTCTTACTGACTAAAAACCATCCCGTTCCTTGTCCTGCCCGTCGAGCCGGAGCCCCGGTAACCCGTTAGGTTCTCCGCGCCTGTTAGGTTCTCCGCGACATACCTATGTCTAAGTTTAGTTTTTCTTAACAAAACTTATCTTTTATGTTAGAGTGACCTATAACTCAAAATTTTGACTGTAGTCAACAAAGTATACGCCTACACCGATACCAAAATAGTATTCAAGTATAAGTTCGAGTTAAGACATTTCAAAGTAACAGAAATACTCCAATTTGAATGGTACTCAAGTATTTGAGCATTACAAAGTCAGAAAAAAATCAGGACCATAAAGTCCTAACAGTTACAATAACATCAAAAAGTAAAAATAAATAAAAACGTGGTCCTTTTACCCGCATTTTGGTCCTTCAAACCTTTTCTAAGTACAGTGGCCGCCCACTTATCAAGTCGACTTAGTTTCTCCTAAACGAAGGACATGTGTCACACACGGTCTGAGTAAAACGAATGAAGTACGCATTATTGCCAAATAAGCAACGGCACAATAATGTATCTCCTTTCTGTATTAGCGGCCTCCCAATGTTTTGTTCATAGTTTTGTCAGCATTTTTTGTGAATGACTGTACGGATTTTAAACACGTTTGGGTCAAACTTTGTGTGTTTTGTTCCTTGTTAGATTCGGATGGACTATGCTATTTAGGCTTGTAGAAATAATACATATATGTTATACCCTTATGTCTTATATATGTCCAGCAGTGGACGAGAACAGACTGTTAATGAGAGTAAGTGAATCCGTCTGGAAGTAACTAGTCTTCTTCTTAAGTATGTTTTTTTACACCTAAAAATGTGGGAGAGCCATGCTTCGGCAGAAATGGGCACGCTCGACTGGAGTGATACCACGGTCTCACAGAAAAGCAACGTGAAACAACGCTTGCGTTGTATTTTGTCGTTTGAGTGAGGTTACCGGAGGTCCAATTACCCCCCCCCCCAGTCCTCCCAACCCCCGAATCCTCCACTATCCTTCCTCAAATCCTCAATTTCCAAAAGGCCGGTAACGCACTTGTAACGCCTTGGTGTTTCAGGTTGGGTGGTGGTGGTCAGGAATGACCTGATGGTAACATCAGGTGATCCGTCTGATATTGTCGGCTTATGCCAAAAAAAAAACTTAATCCAGCCTTCTCGGCAATGAACAAAAATTGCTGTTTAAATACATAAATGAATTGGCGAGAAAAAAGTTTCAACTTCGCTCGTTATTGCCAGCAATGAAAAACTGAGTGGCTCGTTATATGGTAATAAAGCAAATTTTAAAGGCAAACGTCTTATTTTCATCAACATCTTGACTTTTGTGCGGAGATTTTCGGCGATCCAAATTAAAATATTACGACGGTACGGAATAATGAAGTTTTTTTTGTTGTAATTTTCGACTATGGTTATCGGTCCTTGGGAACTCGTGTGGAGAGTAATAGGTGTCTTTTAAGTAATTCAATTCAATGTTATTTTTTGCATTAATATTTTGTATCGGTACATGGTTATTTTTGTTATATTCTAGATTGTTAGAAGTGGCCAAAATTATAAAATTTTCCTTCCTTATTGTTTTTATAAATATCTAATCATTATCAATTTTCCGGGAAAATTCTTCGTCAAAGGAAATTTTCTATGAAATTGTAGATGATTTTCTTATTACGTACCTAATAATAGGGGCGAAACTAGAGATTTTCTAAAAGTGTTTCCCTAAAATGTCTACAAAAGGTAATAATTATTATACGAAATTTCCTTCTACATTATATTAAAATTTCAACCCACGAGAACCCAACGAGGAGACCAAGAACCCAACCAGACTATGAAATATGGTACGCACCTAATGTTCATGGGTAAACATGAGACTGCCAGACAGAACAGATGATAAGCATTTAAAGCTATGATGGACTTTATATTTTTATGCTAATTTGAAGTATTTTGCTTTTCAAGGACTGTAGATAATTTAAATATCAATTCAATTAATAAAATACAAACGTCTATTAGTACATTCCAATTTCGTGTAGGTACTAAATAATGTTATATTGTAAACAAAACAGAAGCGTCCACTAGAAAAAGCACTTTATGTTAAAAACATTGAAGGTCAAAATTTGCACGTGCCCACTGTCAGATACAGGCGTATCATCCGAAAATAAAAACAAAACACTGGCACACATAAACCAATTTTTACATTGGAAGCATTGAGGATATTTGCTTTATTTATTTGGCTGTATCTATAAACCATTTTTACCCAATCCGACATGTACCTCGAGGAGACATCAACCTATACAAAACCAGCTTATCATGGTCTCGTTTTGTATAACCTTTCCGCACGTTTGACGGTCAGTTTATACTGGTTATAAATAGCTCGATGTGAAGCCGCATATATCTTCTACATAATACATTCAACCTAAGTCCTTGCATCCGGGCGAATTTGTTTTCTTGAAAAGGAACCTTTGTAAGGTTTACGTGTTCGTTGTAAAGTAAAACGTAATGCTGGTATTATTTAGGGATTTTTTTGTTTGTGTGATAGCCCCACTGTCTTGTAAGGGGACAATGTTTGTACGTACTCTGAGTGCGATGTTGTCGCTTTGACATTTTACGTTGAATTTGGGTATGAGATGCAAATTCGATGAGGAAGTTCAGTTTCAATATTTTTGTATGATATTATTAAACAAGAGTTCACTTTCTCAGTTCCCGGAACGGCCATTTTTAGAATATCTGATTTCCAAAATGTTTAGTAATTATTTGGAACCTAGATTTAAACATCTCGCTCTCTCTCTTCTAGCATTAGATTCCCACAAAAATATGAAACCCTTTGGAATATGAAAAGGTATATTTAGATTGATCGTTCTTTAGATTGTAAGCTATCCGGGTTTTGTGGTCATTTTTTAAATGATTGACCAAACAAACATTACTTTACTATGACGCCAACATGTCTCTGATCAAGATCGATGGCTCAGTAGAAGGTCGGTTTGAAAGTAGATATTCTGAAAAAAGTCTTAAGTAATGAAGCTGTACCGCTGAGGGTGGATAATATGTTAATACCCTTGGTATGCATCAGGTTTTATCGTCTCGGTGCTTCAGTTAGTCCCTTCTTATGACCGTAACTTATATGACTTGAAATGTCAAAAAATACAATTGTTTATAATAACTAATGAGACATGATGATAAAACGCACGCTGCTCATGAGGAAGAACTTCTATGTGGTTCGAAACTGGTAGAGCTTTTCTCAGTATATTCACGTGAGTAACCCGCGATTTTAGTTAAAATAAATGTTATTTGCAAATACATTGTTTTGTCTACAACGGAATTTTAACATCAATAATCACTTCAAAAGTCTCGTTTTCTGAGTATTTTTAAAATCTAATTTATGTCAACACAAATTTGTCCCTACGGGCGCGAGAATTTGCGCAATTAAAAGGGTCTGGCCAGTCTACCCCTCGGGGTCTTTTTAACTCATTCACAAAATGTGCCTTATTTTGAAGATTTAAATAACTATGGGAGTTTTAATGGCTTTCTTTACAAAGCAGAGTAAACAAACACGATAATGTTAATTTATTACTCTGTTACAGTGTTGTTTAGAAAGTTATTTATGTTTACTATTATTTTTGACTTAGTTTTGTTTGTAGTTGAACTTAAGTTTTATCTATTTAACTTCATAATTTTTTTATTCACAAACTGGAGCTATGGACGTAAGGTTTACCTTCTGATGTTCTTCAATACACCTACTGGTATAAATTTAGCAATACGTTAATTGTAAATATGTATATTGCACATACTGACACATACAAATGACATAAACTGTACGGTTGGCGCGGTGGCTGGGCAACTGGCTGCTGCGCAACGTGTCGCAGGTTTGATTTTCGCACGGAACAACTCTTTGTGTGGTCCACAGATTGTTGTTCCGGGTCTGGGTATTATGTGTATGTGAACTTGTATGTTTTGTAACCGCACCCACGACACAAGCGAAAATCCTAACGTGGGGCAACGTTTTATAAAAAAGAAAAATATATATTATATTAAAATCTAACCACATCCACTGAGCACTGATAAACACACAGTTCGAAAAAAACAAACAAAACGTGTACCAGCCAGACGCAACAAAGAACAATACAATCACATAAACCGAATAAAATGGAAACGCTTTACCAAAAGCCAGCCGTTATAATCATCCGTGAAGGGCAAATATTACCAATTCACTCCCGAACACTATGTGGAACAAAAAAGATTCCTTGGTTCCGCATCACTTGTCATGCTTCGAAAAAAGTAAAACATCGCCTCTTGGAATCAACGAACTGGTAAAGTCAATACACTCAACACGAGTGGAAAGCCAAGCTAACGAGCCTATCACTTGGGAGTCATAGCAAATATTATTTCGAGACGAGCGTAGATTGAAAAACTTTGCTGTGTTTAACATTTTTGTATCTTTTTCTTTTTGAGAGCATCTCTTGTAGGTTGTATTGGAATGGAATGGTTCAAGTTTAGTGTTACACTGGTCAGAATATGCGGGATAGTTAGAAGGTACTTAGGTTTGCATATGAAACCCACGTTGTATAGAAATATTATCTGTGTGCATGTATTAATTAGTGACTTAATTTCATAAATCTTTTTGTATTGATAAGTACATAATGGAATTGATTTAAAATTGCTCAGCTAAGGGTGCTCTTTCCTAATATTTTTATTTTGAAGTTCAAAACTAAAGGCCTGCATTTTGTAACAAATCAGTTCTATGTTAATTCAGAAATACTGACTCGTTGGCCGATTGGTTGCAAGAGTGCCGGGCATGGGGTCTCAGGTTCGGTTACCGGGTCAGGGAAAATATTAATGAGTTTAAAAAAAATCTTAGTAGTAGCACGAAGTCTGGAATTGGGCCCGGTATATGGCTCATCCCTAATTACACGGGACTCATAACATAAATAATCAAAAGTGGGTGTTACATTGAACATTGGCATTAAGTGCCGTAATATCCTCTTCAGGGATAAAAAGGCGTGATTATTATGTTAATTCAGATATACTACCTTGAAATCCACCCACAGATACTACAAACATTTACAGAAATCGTGACCTTAAATTTCGAATTCAACCAACCTACCAAATAACTTCGCAATCCCTAGAAACGGGTTGTCAAAGCCCCAAAGTATAAGCTAGATCAACAGATATACGAACTTACAAATTCATTACTAAGTATCAAACTACTAGAGATTAAGTCCCAACATCTGTTTTAAAATAATTTACCGAAACTTTAATAATATGATTTATGAACTAAACTTAATCAATGCCAGTCGGTGAAAGTTTATGATGAAAATACCATTCAATAATACGATTTGGAGTTGAGCTCCTTAATAAATAAACCTTTTGACTTTCGATAGGCCCACGTAATGTAAAACTTGTGAAGTGAACTTGTCTTTATATTGTGAAGTTAAGAGCAGTTCGATTGAATTTCAATAAGCAATGCTGTATACAGAATTACAGACGTTAATTTGGTACTAGGAGTGAATCTTGAATCTTTAAACGCAATGCTTACGCATTGCGTTTACCTGGGGGTTTAATTTTGAATCCAGTCCTGATCGATTGACATTGGCATTGTAAAGTTTCGTACTCTTGAGTTGCAACACTACCGCCCATTGCATCCGTATTGCGTGGATATTGAATGAACTAAATGGTATGCAGTTTAGCTTTATATTCCGTACCCTGAATGCTATTTTAACAGCTACGATTGGGTTTGTATAATGTTGATAATTTGACATTAAATAATTATTGAGATTTTATTGAATAGACATTGAGATTGGTTTCAAGAGTTCCTAAGCGCCCTGATGTTTGATAATATGCTTTTTATCTTCCCTTGGTTACGTCTACACATAGAAATGTGTAGTATAGATGTACTATAAAATAAATTCACTGTGTCACCCAAGAATAACAATACAGGTGGAATAAACTCGCTGTTCTTCGCTATTATAACAAATTTTCAAAATGTCTTCCGTAACATCGCTCCATCACACACAAACCTAAAGTTCTCGAGTCAACGAAAGTTATTTATTTTTCATCGCAACACGAAATCTGCAAGTGACACTAAAGGGCGACGAACAACGAACCCGTGATTGGAAACTTCGTACAATCTAATTGAATTCCCCAAGAGTGAAGGAACGAGGATTACTTAAAACATTTTTTCAACAAAAATCAAAATTTTGTTCGAACAGAGACATCAAAGGAGTTTTTTGTTCATATTGAATTTTTATCTCTGGGTTTTATGGCAAGGTGTAGATTTGAGGGTGAAAACGTGGGTTGTGGGTTTTTCGGGTAGGACAATTTGGCACAAAGTTTTTACTAGGCAAATTTTGACCGTTATTAGGCATTACTATGAGTTACTTGTTATTCTCTAACCGACGAATGAATACATGCACCATCGAATTCGATTGTCGAAATAGTACACCAAAATTTTAAATAAAAAACTGTTCCTAAAAACAACTAGTCAGTAGTCAGTCCCTAAGCACAGTCTCCCAAAAATCTGATAGATGTAGATAAATGCCACTTTGAAAAAACACTTGCATCATAAAGAAAATGTATAAAATTTCGCAAGTTCATCACCCGCAAAGAACAACTCATTTCAAAACTTGAACTCTTTCAAGTTTCGTGAGCGGAACACAGAACAACTAATTCACTTTATTTTCGCTCCATTCTTACATCTAAGTGGGAATCTTGAAAATATTCAATGTTTTGTTCGTTTATCTTTATTTTTGAACACAGACCTTGTTTTGTGGTAACATGAGAGTTTTTCCTTATATGCCATAAGCAATCATCTGGATGTAGGAGGGTTTTGCCCCTCTTGCCTCTCTACGTGAGCAGACTTGCTCTGTACACAAGATGGCCATACATCGCCTTGTGGTATTTTCGAAGCTTTGAAGTGTGTTCCAAACGTTAAGTGTCTCATTTTCGTTAAAGGTATCAGAATTATTTTTATGGTGAATTGAATAAATTATGTTTGAAGTTTAGAAAGATACTTATTTGAATTTTTATTTTGTTTCATGTAATTTTGTCTTGTCATTTGAAATAAAAAAAATCCATCTGCTTTTTCGATACAAGTATGAGCTGTTTCTATTTATAAATATCATGTGTTTCTATTTATAATACCAAGATATTTTAAAATACATAAAAATAATATTTGAACAAAGCAATAATTTCCACAGCTTACATACTATAACATCTGTAGATATTAGGTAACCCAAATCACATTTAGACTCGGTAAGCATCAAAGATTTTCTTTTGAAAACTGATTTGAATCCCAAAAACCTGTATCCTATCTCTTTGTTGAAACCCTTTAGCAATTTAACTAAATAAATTAACCTAAAAGCATTTATCAAATATTTCCATAATTCATTATTTTGACGGTACCTAAAGCCTAGAATTTTTAAGTGGGTACATGTTACACAAACTGTTACTGTAGCAAAAACTCCTTGATTATGAGTTAATTTGTTTAATCACATGAGAAAATTGAGCTACCCTTCGAACATGTTCATAAATCAAAATTGTTCATAGTTCGTCATCATCATACTAATTATATAAGTATTCTTACTGAAAGTGGTTCTCCGTCAAAAAACTTCAACATACCGTAAACCTTCTAACATTAGTTATTCAGTGAAATTACTAATATTAAGGACGAAAGAAACTCAATTGGAAACATTACTTCCATTCTATTTATATCATGTTTGTACTAAATTGATTAATTCAATAATTTCCAAGCCACAAAATTACATTATTTCATCAAATAAATCGACCAATCAAATACAAAACCAAACAATTGTACATAGATTGAGCCCACACAGCATAATCTAATATCATCCAAATATTGAGTAAACAATAAACGTAAGGGTAACATAACCTCATAATGAATTAATATTTACTATCCAAACATAACAGCAATTAACCAACGTAAGTTTGGGCAAACATTCGCATATTGTCATGCAACACGAAACACAACATGTTACGCAACGCGTATCGCAACGTGTTTGTATATAATACGCGGCACACGTCTGTAACGATAATTCTTCGACCTTAGCTAAAAGCACGTATGTTTGCAGATTTACTTGAGAAGTTTAGACCTAACGTAGATATGAGGCGGTAGATTATGTACGAAATGGATTCTTGGGACTCGGATTTGGGAGTAAAATGTCTTTGTGGGCTTCACTTTCAGATTATGTAACGTTTTTCTATTTCTGTTTGTTTCTTAGATTCCTAGCTCGAATTTAATTTTGGTACTATAACGAGCCGTCTCGAATTAAGATCAATTTAGTTAATCTAAAAGTATTTACAATGTTCTAGTAGTTTCTGATTTCTGAGTAAATACTTTTAACAGACATTAGCCCGTCATGAATTCTAAGAAACTAGATTTTCCTCCACGCTGGCATGACACGAAGCAAAGTCAGGTTCTAATTTAGAAGACGAAACAAGCCAGTGCTATAAATATCTAATTACGTATAATTAAATAAAGTAGCACTTCTAATCACACAACGAAGTAACCACCCTAATTTCTTAACGAACTAATATCAAATTGAGCTAATTGGATAAACTTTATTCCACAAAAAGAGGGAATTCATGTCACACGCGAATCCCCGCGGGCCCTAAGTAATCTCCCTGAGGAACTCCATATTTCATCCTACTTACATAATTGCGAAACGTTTAGATCTATGTAATTGGTCGCTCCGGGGCTCAAATGATTACTAGATAGTAGAAACATGTTATCAGTTAGTCTACGTAAGAAACATTCTAAACTAAAATAATTATGTTTAACTAGGGAAATTTGGTAGGTCGCAAACCAGAAACAGTTGTCTAGAAACAGAGTTCTAGGTAATCTTAGTGATTAATAGCGAGTAGTTTTTGTATGAGGTCAAAAGCGCGATCCATTACAAAGGGCATAACATTTTCTACAAATATTCAGAACATATTTTGAAATTCATATTCACAATGTTCGTTTTTGTTGGTTATTTAGTTCAACAAAACATTTGCAGCTTTGCATTTGAACCAAAGTATAGACCAAATAGGTATAAAAGCATTCGGGTAAGGTATCAAGTTTAATTCACAATTATGTGTACACCTCTATTTTATGATGTCATAGTGTCTTTCATCATAATTTATGAAAATTAACATTTTATAAAAAATGCAATCAATTACATTGATATCATTATTTGTTGGAAATGCTTTCCCAGGCTTGGCTGGTGACTTGGACATCGGAATCAACGAAAATCAATATTTTACGGATCATTATAATGTCAGTAACGAAACCTCTTTTTCCATTTTACTTCAACATCTGCTATTTCTTTGTCCACAGAACTGCCTCCAGACAAACCAACGATAAAAGCGGAGAAAGGATGGTATGCGTCAGGTGACTCACTCAGAGCACAATGCTCGTCACCACCGGCAGACCCTCCTGCCAACCTGACGTGGTTGCTGAATGGAAGAGATGTGAGTACCTAATATTGTTATGAAAGTAATCTTTATTTGCTTATGCAACTTCACCAGTTGATAAGATCGGTATAACCACCAACCATACCGAATATTTGAAAAAAACATAAATCATTCTTGTACTCTTTTACATTAAACAATCAAACAACACGAAACTCGCTACGAATCGTAGTAAGATATGGCTACTACGACTACTACGCTTTCGTAGCAGTTTTGTAGCTGTGATAAAGTTTATTTATATTTAATTCTCAACACGAAAACATTTTCACTTATTTGTCAGGTTAAGTCTTAGATACGTCTATGTGTATATCCAAAATTTACTTACCCAACCAGCAGTCCGATACCAAATGTAACTTCGTTATATCTTCCATTTATATGCGAGAAATTTATTTGATATCCTGACTGTGAGAGTCAATAATTTCACACAGTATTCTCGGAATCGACAATATCTAGCAACATTACAATTGCTTCTCCTAAGCAAGTAGTTCTGAATAATGACTATGTGCACTAAATAGATAGATAGATGTAAGATCTCTCTCATGTGCACGTAGAATTTATCTTAAATGCATGGTAGTTTTGTTGACTGATTAGAATTCCGCACAATTGACTGATTAGGTAAGGTTTTGGACATGTGTTAGGCAGAAAAAATAAATAATATACAATAATGTCACCTCCAAAAATACAGGTAAATAATATACCAAACGTATTCGGTACGTACCTAAAACGAAACTACTTTCACAGATTTATTTCGTCAGCGTCACTCAGTACCTACTATAGGACGGCCTTGATAAAGCCCTTAAGGCATATTTTATCCCAAATCTCCACCCATTTCTCAAGCTCCCCAATAAACGTCAGTGTGATGACGTCACAAAAGCCGCATCGTTAACGTCGCCATCAGCGTGCATCCTTCACGACGGCGACGTCGAGTTAATTAATGAGCAATGAATCACTGACGGTGCCATCGATCGCGCTTGTATCATGTGTGTGTAACCACTACATAAGTTATGAGCGCCTGGTACCATTGCGTTGGAGTTGATCGAAGCTTTGCGTATTTTTTATCATGTGTGTTATTTCAAAGTTGATAAAAAATAAAAAAGTAAGTAAGATAAGTAAGAAGCAAAAGAGGTATGTAGGAATCGTAGTAATTGGCGTTCCATAATCTCTGCCTGTCCATGGGAGACAGGCGTGAAGTTATGTATGTATGTATGGAAGTAAGATGAATACCAAAATCATTTATGTATTGTAAAATCAATCATGGACTTTACATTAACAGGGCTTAAAACTATACTATACTTACCTACTGTCTTCTATAATAATCCGATAGCTGAAAATAAGAAGAATTATTAATAAAAAGGACATTTTCACGCATCTATAGTTGAATAAAAATACTTCTTTACCTTTATATAACTGAAGATTCTACCAAACCACTCACTGTAAAATAATCCCGTCTAAGCCAACTTCAAGAGAACAATAATAGAAATAACATAAAAATAAACTTGACATGAACACAACATAGAAAGAATAATGAAATCAATTTGTGCTGTTCCAACGTCACCGTTCGTCGTTGGTACGTCAGGCCACTTGATAAATGACTCCAAACAACTAGCTCACTTGTTTTATCTTGTGCTACAAAATCGTTTATTTTTCTATGAGAGGTATTTCTTTATTTGATTTTATATTCTTCAAGTTCATACGGAGTTGTCTCGTTATTATTTTGCCAAATACAAAGTACTAGATTGTAACGTAGACTTTTCTACGTTTCGATCTTATGAGAATATCCCTGTTGGAACAGATATACAGAAGAATAATATGCGAAGGTAATAAGCTCGATTTGTAAACCTACATTATACCTCTATACAAAACTTAGCATTCACAAAGTTGTAGCACAAATGTACTTACCTGTTCCAAGAATAAAGCCTAAGTAATATTATCTGAAAACAATATTACACCGAAATTACGAGGAAGTGTATCACAAAATGTATAGTACTCACTTCTTCATTTATGACATTAGTATCATATAAACTCGATATAACTTTCATGACAATTCTTGGTAATCTGGAAAAGTCCGAAAGCTGAGATAGGTATTGTTTTTCTCGTACAATTCTTCTGTCTTATATCTTGATATTCAAGTAGTAGGTAAGAAAATATAATCTTGTAAAGGACCTTTTTGTTCTCCTTCAGATTTTGTTTGCTAAAATGAATTTTTAATTGAATGTCACTCAATATGATTAATGTCTGAGATTTGATGCATTCATATCGTAATCGTAACCAGATACTTCGTCTCGAATTCAATATTAAGATTGAAATTCATTTTCGCATCAGATTTATTAAATTTCATTTCAATGTAGCTAATAACAATTTTCATACTATGTAATTACGTTTTCTTAGTATTGTATCTACTTACGTAAATGAAAACGTTATTCAAAATTTAATATCATTCATTTAATTTGGGGTCAAATTTTACAGTTTTTGTTAGATAATGAGTAGCTCGAATTTTCTCTAGTACCAAATGTTATACATACTAAAACTTGGAAATGTATTGTTATGAAAATGTAGGCAGCAATTTTGAAGTAAATTAAACTGTATTAAGTGTGGGAGAGCCATACTTCGGCACGAGGGCCGGCTCGACCGGAGTGATACCACAGCCTCACAGAAAACGGACGTGAAATAACGCCTTGCCTTGTGTTTCGTCGTGTGAGTGAGGTTACCGGAGGCCCAATTACCCCCCTCCCTAGTCCCCGTCTCCCGAATCCCCGAATCCTCCACAATCCTCCACAATCCTCAAATTCCCAATTCCCAAAAGGCGGGTAACGCACTTATAACTACTTGGTGTCTCGAGTTTCCATGGGCGGCGCCGATTGCTTACCATCAGGTGATCCGTGTGCACCTTTACCGGCCTATGCTATAAAAAAAAATCGCGTGAAATATCATAACCATAATTATACATTATACCATTAATACACTAAACAAAGACTCCATTAAAAGAACATCCTGTACTTAATATCACTTTAGCTATCATTCCCTATATAAAAGAGTTTTCAACATTTATCCAACCGTATGTTGGAGTTTGAACGAACTGAATTGAATTGAACAAAATATTGAGTGCCACCGCCCTCGGCCATAGTGGGATTTCACTACTCAAATATTGATGTACCTCTGTACCGGTTGGATTAAACGTGCAGTTTAAGTATTTGAAGTTAAAAGGCTGGCCGGGAGTTTGTAGAGGCTAAGAGTAGAATTTTAGTATGAATTGAATATGTGAAGAGAATCTCTTTTAGTTTAACTGAAAGACAGCGTTGGTAAATGTTTGTGATTGAACCGTGTTTAGCGTTGTTTTATTAAATAAGATAACATAACATAACGCCTTTTATCCTCGAAGAGGTAGGCAGAGGTGCATATTATGCCACTGTACAATGTAATGCCCACTTTTCACTATTTATGTTATGAGTCCCATGTAATAGGGGGTGAACCTATTGCCATATACCGGGCATAATTCCAGACTCCGTGCTACTACTGAGAAATTTAAAAAAAACCCCGCAATGCTTTGCCCGACTCGGGAATCGAACCCGAGACCCCTTGCCCGGCAGTCCCACTTGCGACCACTCGGCCAACGAGGCAGTTATTCAATAGTATTTCATAATTTTCCTGGGGATTGTATTTAAATGGGTTTTTTGTAAATGTTTATATTGTTTGTGTAGTTATAATAGTGAGTTAACTGTAAATTAAAATATCTCTGTGTTTCTTATTCTGAGTTAAGACAACCAATTGGGTTTGGTAGCTAGCGTCAATTAAATATGACTAAAGATATATTACATATCTTTTGATGTCACTGGAATTAGGTGACTTATTAGCCTTTACACCTCAGCTCACCTCTGCATTACATTTCGATGATTAACAAGCATTAAAAATGTTCCATCAAAACCAATTTTTAAGTCTCTTTTAGCTCCCAAAATTTTAACTAATCTCATACTAACCGGATGATGTCGAAAATTTTCAAAAATATCTACCCGAAAATGGTTGAACAAGGTATTTATCACCTCGTTCGTGTTATGAGCGAGCATAGCCGGGGGCACAAGTCGTTTCAAAATATAGCTCACTTACCTACTTCGTTTTAGTGTAAACAGAATTTTAAAAGCGTGCATTACTGGGGACTATATCGCGTGCTTTCGAACTAGGGTTACCAGTTCTGAAATTTTAAATTACGGCTCCATATTTCGGGAAGAACTGTACTTTTCAAACTCAGGGGGCCAGAAGACTCATAATACAGGCTCAGCTTAGTACGGGCTCCTGTCTCCCATTAATTTTTGTATTATATAAATATTTGTTAAACTTTTATTATATTTATAAATAGGCTGCATTGTTGATTTAAGGTTATGCATGTGTTTAGGTAATTATTATTGAGTGCTGTGGTTGATTCCCATGCTAGGGGTATTGGATTGTTTTTCCGATAACATACGACAAAGCATACCTATTAAGTTGATGTAAGTGTAATTGTAAAGGAGACGAATACACTAAGAAATGTCAATCCAAATTTAAAATAAATAAAAGCTTTCAACAACCATTTATGATAAATTGAAAACCCAATCACACCATTATTTTTTCACAAACCCATGTAGCCACCGGTCTCACCGAAAATCCGGCTAACCGCAAAAGAAGGTTACCCTACACGTAAGTGAATATCGGTTGCGGCCATAGATAGCTATTACCATTAACATGAACTATATTGGGCACTTATCTCGTCGAGTAGCGAAATTTAGCAACGAGGTTTTATTTGGTAAGGTTAAAGAGTATTAGGAGATCTTTCATGCCAATGTACTGCGATGCTAATGAATCATGTTCAGTATAATCTTTAGAGAAGTTTTTTAAAAGGCCTTATGTTAGATTTTTGAGTTATATTACTATGCATTGTCAAGAAGAAGTATTTTAAGCGGCTCGTAGCTCAGTAACTGCTCTAACCGCTCTTCATTCTTTGAATTCTCAAAAGTTGCGGTGTAATATGT